AGCAGTTAGTAGCCAAGGAAACTGTGCCTGAGCAACCAGGAGAACGTCGTCATCACACACGCAGCTAGACACACGCCTGTGCAGACATCACCTGTTCAGAAATGGTGGGAAATCTTTGCCTGGAAAGAGACCTGGGTATTGTAATGAGGGTGTAATGAGAAAAGTTTATGGGCAGCCATGGCTGGTTTGAGCCAGATTAGCGCCCCTCTGTTCTACAACACACACACACACACACACACACACACACACACACACACAAAAAAAAAAAAAAAAAAAAAACCCACAGAAACAGGTCTGGCATTCATCAATGTCAGGGAGGGCATTTGTCAGGGAAGAAAGTTTAAGTCTCAGCCCTTCTGTTAAACTCTGAGCAAATTGCAGGATGTGGTTAGGGTGACCTGAAGGAGTTTACAGGTTAATGTAAAAAAGTTATGGATTATAAATAAAGCTATTCCCTTAGACTTGAGGACAGAAATCTATATACATATAATAGGTTATACCACTTGCCCTGAAGGTTTTATGTAGGAACAATTTTCAGTTTAAATTCTTTGATGGTCTCTTCGGGTTTTGTAAGTGTTATATATTTACTTAGGACCTTGTAAATCTAAAATTTCAATACATTGGCATAAAGTTAGTCACAATATCTTATTATCTTATAATTACCTGCAGCATCTGCCACGAGGTTCCCTTTTCAAGTCCTAAAATTGGGTGTATATGCCTTCTCTCTTCTTCTGTGATCATTCTAAATGAAAACTTGTGAATTTTATTAGTCTTTTTAGGGAGCCAACTTTTGGGCCTTGCTGATCCTCCTTATTGTATCTTAGCTTTATATTTCATTAATTTCTGTTCTGTGTTATTTTTTCTTTATATGTGTGCCTTTTTGCTGTTCTTTTGTAACTTCACAAGCTCACCGACTTTCAGTCTTCCTTTTTCAGTAGTATACACGTTTGGGAAATAGAGTTCCCTTTAAATACTGCCTTAGCTTCACATTTTGATATGTAGTGTTTTTTATTGTCACTCAGTTCAAAAGGCTTTATAATTTTCAATATGATTTGCTGTTTGACCCCTCGGTTCTTTATGAGTATATTCCTTAAGTTCCAAACAAATAAGGTTGTTCTAGTTATCTTTTAATTTTTACTTTTAACTTAAATGCATTGGTCAGAGAATATACTCTAATTTTATTCCTTTGAAATATGTTGAGGCCTGCTTTATGAGTAGTGTAGTAATTATTAATGGCCTCAATATTCTTAAAATGAATGTGTAGGTGTTGGATGCAATATTTTATGTATGTCCATTAAGTCAAGTTGATGAAAGCTACTGTTCAAAGCACAGAGAAAATAATCAATCTACAATAATAAAAGCATAATATGCTAATTAGACTGGTCGTCCAGATGAAGCTGGGGCTATGAGGGAAGCCCAGGTCCTGGGTGCCAGAGGGAGGCCGGTGCCGGCAGCCAGGGGAAGGAAGACCTACTCTTGCACAAATTTCGTGCATCAGACCTCTAGTTTTATCATAATAACTATGCATGGTGACAGGTGGTTATTGTGGTGATCACATCATAAAGAATATAAATGTTGTGCACTTGAACTAATATAATATTGTATGTTGACTATACTTTATTTTAAACAATCCTGCTGTCACATATTTTTACTGATGTTTTTGTCTGTTTTCAACTGACCACCAATGACCTTCTTAATGTATACTTTGTGTTTGCTCCAACAGGTCTGTGCTTCTTTTTCCTCTCAGTTTTTGCCTTCTTCTGAATTGATATGTTTTTGGTCCGTTTTCTCTCCTCTACTAATTCAAAGTTAATGCAATTTGATTCTATTCTTTTTGTGGTGCCTGAATTGCTGTGTAGGTATTTTACTTTGGATCCCATGAAGCACTAAGTGAGTGAATGAGAAAGTGAGACAGAAAGAAAAAAAGCCAATGCAGGCTACACTGGGGAACCAGCTACTGCTATGGGCAGCTGGGAATCCCTGGGAGAGTTTCAGCACTCCCATCCAGAAGCAAAGAGGCTGGTATATTTATTCAGAACTGATGTTTCACTAGCTGCATTAGCTCCCTAGCTTTACTGGCCTGCTCTACATGGAGACTGAATATACCTGCAACCAAAGGAATCCCTCCGGCAGCATCTCAGGTGCTTGCTGTGTCTATATATTAGGTAGAGCTGTTATGGCTCCCAATCTTCATGGGGTGGCCTTATGTAGTAGGTGTCCTGTGGGTGCTGTCTCCTGATCACCTGAGCTGGGTGCTCCAGAAATGTTCCTTGTGTGAGCTATGTGGACCTTCCTGTTGTAATTTAGTCTTAATTTCTATTGGGCCATTCATATGTGGGATTGACTCTATGGCCGGCTGACTGGGAGATTCAACCCCGGCCATTGCATATAAGTTACTGTGCAGGTGCTGACCACATGAAGCAGATTCACATCAGTAGAGCCAGCTGCCTGCCGAGATACATCTTTGGATATGCTGCTGTGATGTCTGAAAGTGGCCAGAGGGTGTGTTAATTCTGAGCCTCTTTTGAGAGACTCTGGTGCAGGTCAATATAAGATGCTGCCTGTGACTGGACCTCAGCAACCTGTTGGAGCCACAAGCAAACCACAGTTTGTGGTTACCTCTGCTGGGCTTGGGTGTGCACAGGTAGGACCAAGCTGCACACCAAGGCCAGCTTTTAGCAGCACCAGGTCCAGAGGCAGGTCAGCAAAAGTCCTAAGGTTCCCAAGTCTGCCTCTGCCTACCTCCACCTGCTCGCTGCCTGTTAGGCTCAGTCACTGAAAGAACCTCTGGCTGTACTCCTCAGCAGGCTATAAGCTCCACAATGTGGATGAGAGGGAATCCAGAGATGGGGCTACTGCTTTCCCCCAGGGTGATGCCACACAGCAGGGAATTCTCCACTCCAGAAAGATGGCATTTGCGGAGTGGGAGCATGACCCAGCACAGAGATCCTAGCAGCTATCCCTTCAGCTCCCTCCCCAGAGTCTCAAACCCCAGTCTCTCCTCATGGGACTCTAGTCTGCTCCACCTCCCCTCTGCTGGAGCCCAAGTGAGTGGCAGCCTCCATGTAGCTTCTTCTGTAATCCGTGGTTACAAGTCTTCTCTCCAGCTAGCCTTCAGTGGGTTATTCAGGATGATTACTCTACAATTTAGTTTTAATTCCTGTTTGGTCCCAGGAGGAGGTGAGTGTAGCTTCCACCTAGTCTATCACCACATCACATCTCCCCCTTATTCAGGATTTTAAAATTGCTCCTTCGCCTTTCCTTTTTCCAGACCTCATCTGAGACTCCTTCTTTAGCCCACTTTCTTCAGCCCTGAATACATTTCCTATCCTTGTCCTTCTCCCCCTTTCTTTAACATGTTTATATTTAAACCATTCTTTGTGATTCTCTTTCCTGGGATAATCACTGTAAGAAGAGAAGCATGATGCACTGAGGGACCCGCCTCTCTGGACCTAGTAGTTCTTCTATGAGTTAAATCATTTCCCCGTGAGCTCAGCTCATCTCTCCTGTGTATAATCCCTCCAAGCTGAACTTTGCCCCTTGGCCAGTATTGCATGCAGCTCATGGCTCTGCCCCCGCCACTCCCCCCTTTGCCAGGATCCCTTCCCCAGGAATTTCATCACTTCCTAGAACAGCCAAACTTTTTTGGTATATTTCTCTCCGTTAGTGTTTAACCAAACACCTCTCTCTAAGGGGTGGGCTGAACTGACAGAAGAAATGTTAAAAACATGAGACTCAGGAGGACCGTTTCTGCAGGCGCTCCCTGGCTTCTGGAGGAGAGGGAGGTAGGGCAGTGGACAGGTGGCATAGGAGTGACAATGGAGTCTGGCTTCACCTCCAAGGACACCTATCTGAGCCATTTTAACCCTCGAGAATACCTAGAAAAATATTACAGCTTTGGGTCCACACACACCGCAGAAAACCAGATTCTTAGGCTTCTTCTAAAAAAGCTTTTCCATATATTCTGTGTGGGTAAGTTTGCCTGTTGTCTGTGTCTACCATCTCTTCTCCTCACCCCAAAATGTGAGTCTCAGGGCATGACTGGATTTTTAGTCTAGTCATTGCTATTTAACAGCCCTTTTGGTGTCACCTTCTTATGGAGCTAAGATAGAAAGTAATGTTGGCATGGATATTTTACAGTTTACAAAGTGCTTTTATATCCATTATCTTGTTTGGTCACACTAAAGGGAAACCAGAAGAAGGGAGTTCTATCCTTGATTCTACATGGATTTGCTATGTATCAGAGTCTGCCATTTAACCCTTGTGATTGACCACTTAAGAAATGGAGGTTCTAATACTTATTCTGTTCCTAACTCAATGGACTATTGTGAATATGCATGAGATAAAGATCTCTCAACATATGAAGAACTGGATGAAGACATTATATAAACTCAAATTTAAAAAAAAAAAAACTTTCCCCAAAAGTGTTCCTTAATAGTTGTAAGCAGCATGCCTTTACTCTTGATAGGGGAACAGAAAATGAAAATCTGTTTGAGAAAAAGATTTCACAGGATAGTAGTAACTAATGATGATCTAAGTGGTGAGAGAGGTAGTCTGTCTTTGGGGCTCTCCCTGGGGCTCTCCATCCTAATGCTGGCAAAGACAGCACAAATCAGCTCTACCGGCACCATATAAAGCCTAATTCCCCTTCCTCATTCCTTCCACTCAACCAGCTGGCGTGAAGGGAGACCTCCTGATTGACATTGGCTCTGGCCCCACCATCTATCAGCTCCTCTCTGCTTGTGAATCCTTCAAGACGATCATTGCTTCTGACTACACTGATCAGAACCTGCAGGAGCTAGAGAAGTGGCTGAAGAAGGAGCCAGGGGCCTTCGACTGGTCCCCAGTAGTGACCTACGTGTGTGAGCTCGAAGGGAACAGGTAGAGAAACTGGGCTCTGCTTCTGGGCTTTCTGAGGGGACTTGGGTGACCATTTGTTTTTCAGAACCAAGAATTATCTTTACAGTTCAAGTTGAAAAGCAAAGGAGAGAGAAATCCAAATGGAGAATGAGAGAGCAAGAATGAGGTAAATGTATTTGGGGCGGGGAGGTGGGGGGGGGCAGTAGTGGAGAGGTGTGTGCATGCACCAGAGCACAGATAGAGGGCTGAAGAGATGCACACTGAGCCAAGAGGAATAGAGCTTTCTAGGCCTCAGTGTCCTGGCCAGGTACCTCAGGACCTTGTTTTGGGACAACTTCAAGAGGTGAAATCAGCTCCTCACCAGAAGTGCTTGGGTGTCAGAACTGTCCCCCTAGTGCCATCCTGTTGCTAGCCATTCAAGCATACAGGATTCTGCTGTGAGAGTGGCTAATGCTGATACCCCAAGCTGACTATCTTTTTAAACTGAGATTTGCAGCCTAAAGGGGTTATTTGAAAGGAGCTTGTTACTTCATCATCCATAAAATGAGAACTTTACATACTCACAACTAATGACCAAAATCTGACACCACTTTATCGACAAGTAAACTTATGCCACAAATCTAGTTTAAGTGACTCTTTCTCCCCAGATGAGAAATTGGCAACAGTCCACTAGGCAGAGGTGGCAGTTCTGTGTTTCACTGTCTTGTGCTTCTGTCCTAATGTGCCCCCACTCTGCTGCCTAGCCATCTTCAGTTCTCAGAGCATCATGTCTGCTGCTAGGCACACTGCTGAGACCCCAACAACCCCTTTGCAAACTGCATAGAAATACTAACTTAGTATTTTTCCTAGGATCCTGCTGGCCCTGTCTGCTGCTCGCTCAGTTTACTTACCGTTTTTCCCTGCTCTTGTGATTGTTTTTTGTTTGTGTGTGTGTTGGGTGCATTCTTTCTATCTTTCCCCACTGCCCTTACCAAGGATTTAATTTTTACATGAAATCTCTCTTCCTTCCCCAGTCCATTTCCCCCTGTATTCCCCCCCCATTTGTTCATATAATGCACACTTTATGTATTGCACCCATCCTCTGCCTTTCCTTTCCCTTCACAATGGGAAAGCATATATATTTTTAATCCACATATCTCAAGATTTGGTCTAGAAAGAGCTCTAATTTCCTGGCAAGACAAGGTCCCTCAAGAAACAAGTACTGATACTTTTACACGTGATCCCTCCCTCTCTCCTTCCCTCCCTCCTATCTTCCCTTCCTCTCTTCCTTCCTTCCAACTGTATTGATCACCTATGATGCTCTGGGACAGAATGGTAAATGAGATGGAGGAGGGCCATCTCATAGAGCTTACATCAGGAAGGCTCACCGTGCCAGATCATTTGGGTCCTCAAGACCAAGTTAAAGATTGTGACTTCAGATATAACTTCAGGAATGCATTAGAGGTGTAACCAAAACAGTGCTGTGACCCAGTTTGCGTTTGTAAAGATCTCTCTGGCTGTTGTGTGGAGAATGGATGAGATGGGCTTAGAGGAGAATGAGAGATGCAGAAAGGAGACCATTTAAATCCAGGTAAGAGATGATGGTGGTCTGGACTAGGACCTGGAGAGAGGTAGATAATTGTAAGATGCATTTTTGAAATAGGATGGATAAGCGTTTGTATCATATATCAATGGTGACTTCCATATTCCTGAACTCAAAAAGCAGGAGGATTGAGGCAATAGTCCTGAATCTCAGGGGAAAATATAAGGTAATGTGGTCTTCACATGACTCTAAAAATATGCTACGTCCATCCTCTTCCTCTGGAGTGATGGTCATTTTCCGGTCCTTGTACTTACCTCTGGCTGCCATCTAGTTACCAGTCCTCATTTCCTTCTAAAGCCAACTCTCATGGCTGTTCTTTGACCCTCCCATAGGCTTTGCACTGTTTGCTAACTCTGAGCTATCAAGGACGTTCTACACTTTATCTTCATTTCTTTACATATCATTGCTACACTGTCTTATTGTTAGCAAACATGAATTGTCAAGTGGAAATAAGCAAGGTGACTCATTGATGGTACAATTCCTTATAACTTTGGTTGTGATTTCTTTGACTTTACAGATCAGTTTAGGAGAATGGCTATTTTGACTCTTCAGTGCGTGAGCATGGCCTATTTCTCCATTTATTTAGGACTTCATTTCTCTCAGCAATATTCTGTAGTTCCCATATTTTATTTTGCTAAACATTTTCCTTTGTAACAATAGCATTTATGCTATTGTTAAATGTATTTTTTAAATGTTTTAGTTTTATTTTATTAATTTCATTTTTACTTCATTGGCTACTATATAGAAACACAATTAATTTTTTGTACATTGGCCTCGTGTCCTGTGATCTTGCTGACTTCATTAATTAATGAGTGTTTTTGTAGATTCCATAGGGGCTTCTTCCTTTTTTTTTTTTTTTTTTTTTAGAATTTTCTAATATACATTAGACATTTATGTAAGAGATATTCCATTTTTCAAAGAAATGTCCTCTAGCTCCTGTCTTCGCTGTCTTCTCCAGAGCAGTAAGCAGTAATTACTACTCTTGTAGATGAGCTGCTCCATTGTGTTGGGCAGTGATTATAACCTTATGTTTAAAGTTATTATCATCTCCCAAACCTCATTTCACCACACGGTCTCACTGCACTGTTTCACAGTAAAATACGCTCTACTCCAATTTGAGGCTCCTACTTCAAAAGCTAGAGGCCCCTGAAGATGTTTGGATGCTGAGTTAATAAGTGTTGACCGGCACCAATGCCTATTTGTTCAATTATTAAAACTACAATAATAGAAATGAAAGCCAATTTAATGAAAAAGGAACTCGGGAATGAGATCATTAAATATAACTAATACATTTTAGATACAAATACCAAGTATGTCCTAATTAGTATCCGGTAAATATCTAAACTATCCAATATCTGGCCTAAGGGGAAAAGGTCAAAGATTCTCAGGTCCATTGTGAAAAGCATGAGGTGCTCTGGGACAGTCACTTTAGTCTTCTCCTCAGAGACTTCTGTTGGTCCTTTCTTTGGTACCCATTTGTGTCTGCATCTTTAGAGTCTACCTTGCCTTTGCTTTTATCATTGGATTGGTGAGCAGCTTTTCTAGGCCACCTATGCCACCTACGACTGACATGTGGGGAGACCACAGGGTGCGTGCATGGTGCCAGGAGCTTTTTGGAGAGCCAGAGCAGAACGGAATGAGGATGCACAGGAGTGCACACCATTGCCTCAGGCTGGAGCTCCTGAATGGGAGAGCCCGGGACAGGAGAGCAGTAACCAGGCTGGGCTCCTTGTGCGTGGAACAGCTGACAGTGCCCAGGCCCGCACCTCCTCCCCTAGGCCGAAAGCCTGAGATCAACTGGGTCCATAGGGTGTTCTGTGTACATCCTTTGTTTTATATATATAATATATTTATATTGATTTTAGAGAGGAAGGGAGAGGGAGAGAGATAGAAACATCAATGATGAAAGAGAATCATAGATTGGCTGCCTCTGCACATCTCCACTAGGAATCAAGTCCACAACCCAGGCATGTGCCCTTGACCAGAATTGAAACCCGGCCCCTTCAGTCCACAGGCCTGCGTTCTATCCACTGAGCCAAACCGGCTAGGGCTCTATGTACATTCTTTTATCATCTGCAAATAAAAAGTTATATTTTTATTCCAACTCTCCACCTTTCATTTATTTTCTGGCCTATTACACTGACTAGGACTTCCAGAACAGTGTTGAGTAGAAATTATGAGACCAGACATCTGTGCCTTTTTCCATATGTTAGAAAAACATGTTCAATGATTCATCATTAAAAATGATGATGTTAGCTCTGGGTTTTTTCATGCATATTATTTATCAGACTAAGTTCCCTTATAAGTCCTAGTTTCTTGGGACTTTTTAACCAAATGTGGAATTTTATCAAATTTTCTTTTCTTTGTTGAGAGATAATCCCATATAATTTTCCTCCTTTATACTGAAAATGTGAGTTACATTGGATGATTTTGAATGTTTAAACCAAGTTGACCTAAACCCTTTGGTCAGGAAGTGTTATTTTTTTTTTTTACCTGTATTTATGAGATATTGAGCTTTAATTTAAAAAAAAAATTATTTTTATTTTATTGATTTTGTACAGAGAGGAAGGAAGAGAGATAGAGAGTTAGAAACATCGATGAGAGAGAGTCATCGATCAGCTGCCTCCTGCACACCCCCTACCTGGGGATATGCCCGCAACCAAGGTACATGCCCTTGACCGGAATCGAACCCGGGACCTTTCAGTCCCCAAGCCAGCGCTCTATCCATTGAGCCAAACTGGTCCCGGCTTGAGCTTTAATTTTAAATATGCTTGGCAGATGTGGTATCAGCATGATGCTGGAGTCATATACCAAGCTGAGAATGTTTCTACCCCCTCTATTTTTAAGAATTTGAATTTCTTCCTTAAGTGACTGGTAGAATTCACCGGTGCAGCCATCTGAACTTGGAGGTTCTTTTTCATGTGTGTGAAGGATTTTTATTAAGAATACTATTCCTTTATTGGCTATGTGGATTTTCCATTTCTACTTTTGTGTTTTTATAAGTACTATTTTTCAAGAAATTAGTTCTTTTCATCCTGCTTGTCAACTTTTTTTTGGCACAGGTTTTTTTTTATTTTAACATATTCCTTTATTAACCTTTTAATTAATCTGTATCTTCTGTAGTAATCTTCCCTCTTTCATTCTTATTATAAAATTGGCTATTGTCTTTTTTTTTTTAATCTGGGTAAATCTTGCTTTAGATGGGTAAATTTTATTAATCTTTTCAAAGGTCCAATTTTTGCCTCTGTGACTTTCTTTTAAAATATATAATTTTATTGATTTCAGAAAGGAAGGGAGAAGGAGAGATATTAAAGATGAGAGTGAATCATTGGTCAGCTGCCTCATGCACAACCTACACTAACGGTCAACCCCACAACCCAGCATGTGCCCTGACAGAGAATCATACTGTGACCTCCTGGTTTATAGGTCGATGATCAACCACTGTGCCACTCCAGCTGGGCTTGGCTTCGTTGGTTTTCTTGATTCTCCATTTTATATTGTATTAATTTCCGTTCTTATTTTCTTTCATTTAATTTAGTTCTAATGTGCTCTTTTCCCCTAGCTTCTTAAATAGAAACTTATAC